TCTGGACGACGGGCAGATCGCGTGCCGGCCTGAGCACGTCGACCCCGTGCTCCGGGCACTCGACGCAGCCGGCGCCCGTGTGGGCGCTGCGAGAGCACGGGGCGCCGAGGCGAAGAGCGTCGCACGCGTCGTCGGGCCGCCTGCTGCTGTGGCTGCGTGCAGAGGCTGGGCCACGGAGTACGTGCTAAGCAGCACTACGTTCGACCCGTCGCGCCAGGAGCACGTGCTCGGAGTCGACTTTGGGGACGCGCACACCCCGTCCGACCAGTTCCGCCAGGCCACCGAGGCTGTCTCCGAGCTCCACGAGGCGCTGGCGCAGGTGGAGGACACGGCGTCGGAACTGATCCTGCTCCGCAAGTGCGCCGACGTGTGCAAGGTGGTTCACCTGCTGCGAGCATCGGGCCCCTCGATCGACCCAGCGGCGCTGGGCGATTACGACTCCATGTTGCGGCGGTCGTTGGTGCGGTGCCTCGGCGGGGACTTGGACGACCTGTCCGCGGCCCAGTGCGCTGTCGGCGTCTCGGAGGGCGGGCTCGGGGTGCGGCGCGCCGCAGCCAAGGCGCTCCCGGCCTTCGTGGCGTCCCGGGTCGAGTCACGGTGGCTGGTAGACCTGCTCGTGCAAGGCGTCTCCGAGGCTGGGGTCGGGCCCGAGGGCATGCTCGCCGCTTACGACGCGAGCACCGAGGAGGCGCAGTTGGCGTTCGAGGCGTCGCTCCCGGCGGCCGCGGCGACGCGAGCTCGGGACCTGGTGCAGCAGGCGGCCGAAGCACGCTGCACTCCGGAGGCGGCGCTCGCAGGCGCGAGGCACCGGCGCGAATCGGCCTTGGCCGGGGACGACCTGGTGCTGCCCGCGGGAGCCGAGGACGCCGAGTTCGAGCCCGCCAGCCTGCAGGCGGCCTTGTGTGGCATCCAGGACGAGCTGGCAGTCGTCCGCCTCCTGGAGCAGCTGGACGTGCCCGCGCTGCAGGATCGCCGCCGGCGCCTCCTGGAGCTGCGCGACCCCTCCGTGTCGCACGAGTGGCTGTGGCGAGTCTCGCGCGCGCATGGTCCAGTGGTGCCCAGAAGCGACTTCCAGGTGGCGGTCCGGCTCCGAGTGGGCGCAGTCTGCACCAGCCTCACCGCGCTCTGCGCTCGGTGCGGCGCCTCGCTGGGGACGACTGGCTCCCATGCCCTCTGCTGTGCCCTGCCGGAGGCCACCCGCGGGCACTACGACGTCCGGGACGAGGTGCTCCGGTTGGGGCACTTGGCAGACCCCACCGCCGCGACTGAGGGTCTCGGGCTCATTCCCTCTGCTCCAACGCTCCGCCCCGCGGACATCTTGACCTCAGCGGCCCTCCCGGGCCGCTTGGCGGCGTTGGACATTGGGATCACGAGCCCCGACGCAACCGGCGCGGGCGCGGACTGCTGCGACGCGATGCACCGCAAGAAGCAGGGGGACTACCAGGAGTACGAGGCCGAGCTGCGGGCGCAGAACATCACCTACCGGCCCATGGTTTGGTCGGCGTGGGGCCGCGAGCACCCGGAGACCAGCGTGATGCTCTCCGCGATGGCGGCGCAGGCGGCCCGGCGCCGTGGGCTGCGGGGCCACCGGCTGCTCCTCCGAAGGGTCCGGAGCGCCATCGGCGTCCAATTGGCGCGACGGGCCGTGCGGATGCTGCACTCCTGCGTGCCGCGTTTCGAGGAGGAGGAGGACGCGGCGCTCTTCGGGGGCTACTGCGACGACGGCGCCCGGCACGAGCCGCGGGCAGTCCGGCTCCTCGCGGGCGAGGCAGACGCCTGGCCTGCACCCGCGGAGCTGGGCGAGGCGGAGAGGGCGCCAGCGGCCGCCCACGGCGGGCTGGGCAGCGACGCGGAGCCAGACGAGCCAGGCGGCCGCGTGCCCGAGCCGACCGAGCTGGGCAGCCTGGAGCCGACGGAGCTCCGCGGCCCTGGGGAGCCGCCGGGCAGCGCGGACGCCGGCCTGGGCCTCGCGGAGGCGGCCGGCAGCCTGGCGCCGACGACGCCCCGCGGCACCTCGCCAGAGCGGGCCGGGGCGGACGGCGCCGAGGCCAGGCTTGCTCTGCCTGCCCAGCTGCTGCCGCCGACGGCCAGCGCGCGGCGCGCCGGGAGCGCCGCGGGGGGCCGCGTCGCCGCCCTGCGCCTCGTGTACGGGGCGGGCCCGCGGCTGGGCGGGCGCTGAGTGCGAGGGACGAGGGCGCGGTGGAGGTTGAGTGATCGGGGGGGGGGAAAAAATAAAAAAAAAAAAAAAAAAGAAAGAAAAAAAAAAAAAAAAAAAAAAAAAAAAAAAAAAAAAAAAAAAAAAAAAAAAAAAAAAAAAAAAAAAAAAAAAAAAAAAAAAAAAAAAAAACTGAATGCCAAGGGGTAGCGCACGCAGACAATGAACCTGGCGCGACCCCAATAGCGGTTTCCCCTCTGTCAAAGCAACTTAAACCACTCCGGAGCAATTCAGAACAATGTGATGGGAAGCGTTGGCAGTGCTTGGCATGCTTGGCGTTGCTTGAAATCGTTATGTGAATATCCGTGAGGGCAGCCGCAGTGAAGCAGCGTCGGGACTTCACGCGAAGACGATGAGAAATCGGCAAGACAAATTGAGATTCTGATGATATTGTTGAATTCGGTGTTGTATTTCGAGCTTGCTCGCGTATGCTGTGCAAACAGCGTTTCTGCGAAGTATTGACATGTTGCAAATCCCATGTGTTTCTCGACCCTGACCCCGCCCATCTGCATGAGGAGTGCCACCGAATTTCAGACATGTGACAACTCCCTTGTGTTTTTGGGCCCTGACCCCGCCGATCTGCGTGAGGGGGCCACCGTGGCAACTCCCATGTGTTTTTTCGACCCTGACCCCGCCGATCTGCAAGAGGGGTGCCACCGAATTTCAGAAATGTGGCAAATCCTCTGTGTTTTGACCCTGACCCCGGCGATCTGCGTGAGAGGGGCCACCGAATTTTAGAATTGTGACAGATCCGATTTATTTTTCGACACTGACCCCGCCCATCTGCAAGAGGGGTGCTACCGAATTTCAGGAATGTGGCGAATCCCGGTGGTTTTTCGACCCTGACCCCGGCGATCTGCGTGAGGGGTGTTACCGAATTTGAGAAATGTAACAAATCCCATGTGTTTTTCAACCCTGACCCCGGCGATCTGCGTGAGGGGTGCCACCGAATTCTAGAAATGTGGCAAATCCCATTTGTTTTTGGACCCTGACCCCGCCGATCTGCGTGAGAGGGGCCACCGAATTGTAGAACTATGGCAAATCCAATGTGTTGTTAGACCTTGACCTTGCTTATCTGCGTGAGAGGTGCCGCCGAATTTCAGAAATGTGGAATCCTCTGTTTTTTTCGACCCTGACCCCGCCAATCTGCGTGAGGGGTGCCACCGAATTTCAAAAATGTAGCACATCCCATGTGTTTTTGGACCCTGACCCCGCCGATCTGCGTGAGGGGTGTCAATTTCGACCCCCAAGAAATTCTAAGACCCCTCCCGCGAGGTGCTAACCAGGGCTGTTTTCGGCTCCCCCCCTCGCGCGGTCTACAACAAGGAACAGTAAGCAACAAGAAGCAAAACTGTAACAGTGGAAACTGGAAACTGGAACTGGCGCAGGGAACAGCTAACCCTGAGCCTACAGCCTGGTGGCCCCACAAGGGGGCCGGCGGATTTGACATTGCTCTTGGATTATTTGCTTGGTACTGATTGGCGTTGCTTGATGTTTCTTGCCTTGCTTGATGTTGCTTGGCATTGCCTGGCGATTCTTGGCTTTGCTGGGCATTGGTTGGAACTGATTTGCATTGCTTGGCGTTGCTTGCCATTGCTTGGTATCGCTTGACATTGGTTGCCTTGTTTTGCATTCCTTGGCGTTGCTTGGCGTTGCTTCGCGTTTTTGTGTGATTGCATGGCGTTTCTTGGCATTCCTTGCGCATTACTTGGGCATTGCTCGGCAGTGCTCGACATTTCTTGGCATGAGTTTGGCATTGCTGTGCATTGCCTGGAATCGTTGCTCTACGTTGCTTGGTATGCGTTGCTTGGAATCGATGATTGGCATTACTTGGTATTGGCATTGATGGAAAGTGGTTGGCATTTACTTGCATTGCTTGGCATCGCTTGGCATTGCTTTACGTTGCTTATAATCGTTTAGCGTTGCCTACTGTTGCTCTGCATAGGTTGGCGTTGCCAGGACACTCTCGGCGGTGCTTGGCGTTGTTTGGTGTTGCTTGGTATTGCTTGGCGTTGGCCGGAAACGATTGGCATTGCTGGGCATTGGTTTGCATTGGTTTGCATTGCTTGGCGTTGCTTGACATCGCTTGGTACTGCTGGGCCTCGCTTGGCACTCGTTTGCACTGCTGAGCATGTGCTTGGCCTTTATTTGCATTGCTGTGCAGTGCTTGGAATCGTTGCCTTGCATTGCTTGGCTTTGCTTGGCATTTCTTGGCACTGCTTGGAGGTGTTTGGCACTGCTTCGCGTTGCTTGGCACTGCTTGGCATTGGCATTGGCTTCAGTGCCGTCGCCCTCGCACACACGCGCCGCAATTTTGCGCGCCGATCTGTGGCCCAGTCCTGCTTACCCCTCCCCGGCCCCCAGGGCTCGACCTAAACTGTGTTTTAGCGATCTCGTGGACCCTTTTCGGTTTGACCTCGCTCTGCAGCAAAGGCGGAGCGAGTACGACACGAAGGAACAACGAAAACAAAGCGAGAACGGAGCACACCGTTTAGGTCCACCCTTCCCGGCTCCCCTCTCCCTTGGCATCGCTCGGACGTGTGCATTTTTCTTTCGGCGAGGACCATCGAGGAGCATCCTGGATCATTTCGCGAAAAAACCACGCACGAAACCAAACAAAAACACAGGAAATGGACGTCCGAGCGATGGCCAGCTCCGGCGCAGCCGAGCTGCTCTGTGTTGTGGCTGGTCGGTGGGCACCACCCGGCGGGCCCCCCGCGGCAGGGCCGCGGCCCAGGGCGCCCGCGCGGCCCCCCCGTGGCATCCCCCCTTTGGGGGGTCGGAGGCGGACTACGCCGCGCACCTCGTGCAGACCATGCCGAGGCCGCCCCGTCGTCGTCGGCGTCGTCGTCGTCGGCGTCGGCGTCGGCATCGGCGTCGGCGTCGGCGTCGGCGTCGTCGTCGTCGTTGTCGTCGTCTTCCGTCGTCGTCGGGCGTCGGGCGAGGGGGTCTTTGAGACGTCGTCGGGGAGGGCGTTGTCGTCGCCGTCGTCGGGGGACGGCGGCGGCGGAGGCTGTCTTCGTTCTTCGTTGGATGGGGCGGAGAAGGAGAAGTAGTATGAGAAAGACTTCGAGGGGAGGGGGAGGATGAGGAGGAGGAGGAGGAGGAGGAGAAGAACAATGGGAGCGGAGGCATTCGGGAGTCTGGAGGAGGTTGGATGTGATGGGAGGAGGAGGGAGGAAGAGGGCGAGGGGGATGTGGACATCCAGGAGGAGCAGGAGGAGGAGGAGGAGGAAAGGGAGGAGGAGGAGGAGGAGAACGAATAGAGGGTCTGATTAGGAGGAGGCCGAATATCCATGAAGGGTAGAAGAAGGAAAAGGGAAGCGGAGGAGGAGGAGGACGAGGAGGAGGGGGAGTGATGGAGTGGATGGGAAGGAGGGGGAGGACGTGAAGGATTCAGTTGGGGAGGGGAAGGGGAAGGGAGAAAGAGGGGAACGATGCCTGGAATGAGGAGGGGGAGGAGTCCATGAGGAGAGGGATGAGGATGGGATTGGGGCAGACGGAAGTGGATGATCGGGCGTAGGGGTATAGCAGGGGGGCAGGTGGAGCAGGTGGAAGAGGCGAAGGTCATGAGCATTGGGAGGAGTAGGAGGACGAGGACGATTTTCAGGAGAAGGGAGGGGAAGATGAGGATGGGGCACGAGGAGGGAGCGAATGACGAGAGCGCGGCCTGCCGTTTAGGCGAGAACCCAGCCTTGAATTCGCCTTCCATCCTGCGAGAATTAACACACCAGAGGCTCATTTTGAAACGCATGTGCCTTCCATGTGTATTTGTTGGGCACGTGCAAGACGAGTCTGCTCCGCTGTAAGGTGAGGTTTTTTTCGAACACATCCCCAGCTCCGTCCGTGACATAGTTTTGTTGTGCGACGATTTCCCGCGGCGCTGTCGCGAGGGGGGGCAGATCTTGAATGCTAGCCGCGCTCTATCATTGAGCCCCGCGCTAAACCGAGCTTCATTGTGAACACCATTCCACCCCCATTCGTGTAAGGAATGGCCGGGTGTTTCAGAGACGAACGCGCATGGCGTTGAGGCGATAACCACAGCTCGAAATCTGTTCGCCTTGCATTCGTATGATGGTGGTTGGAAGCTTCAAGGACGAATGTGCGCGGCGCTGATGCAACAACCTCGTTTCGAAGACGGACCGCCTTCTATCCGTAAAGCTGCCGCATTTCGAGGAGACACGATGGGGGAGGAAGGTGAGTGAGGAGGAGGAGGAGGAGGAAGAAAAGAAGGAGGCTGACACGGATGAGGAGAGGGACAAAGGGGGAATCTGATCATGTGATCAGGGGAGGAGGGGATTCGTGGAGGGGGCAGAGATGCCCAGGGAGAGGATGCTTCGGACAGCGCGGCGCTTGGCATCGCTCGGACGTGTGCACCTTTTTCCCTCGGCGAGAAGGGAGGAGGGGGTGGGAGGGAGAGGAGGGGCAGCAGCAGCAGTCAGGCGAGAAGGAGGAGGAGGAGGAGGAGGAGGAAGAGGAGGAGCAGGAAGAAGAGGAGTGGCCAGGAGCGGGCGCAGGGCGGGCCGTCGAGATCTTGTGCGGGTGGGGGCACCGTTCCGCCAGCGGGGGCGGTGAGAAAAAGCTGCTTCAGCTGAGTGGACCGTTGGGCCGGCAGGAAGGGAGGCCGTGCAGGCAGGGACGAGGCGGAGGAGGGTGATCGAAGTAGGAAAAAAAAACGCTATAAACATAACATGTCGACGCTTTGCGCGGATCTTGGATTCGCGCTGGGACCCCCCTGGCGGCGCCTCCGGCGCCGCCCCTGGCGCGCTCCGCGCGCCACGGAGGGTCCAGCGCACATGCAAGAAATCGGCGCGGAGCGCCGAACGTTTATGTTTATGACGTTTTTTGTTCCTCTAGGTGGGGAGGCGGAGGAGGCGGACTAGGGTGCGTCAGATGTGAAGGGATAACGAGGATGAGTGGAGGTCGAAGAGAAGGGGCGAGAGCGTGGAGGAGGATGAGGAAGAGGAGGAGGAGGAGGAGGAGGAGGAGTGTGCTTGTGTGTCTGTGTATGTGCAACATTCATCACCACGCTCCCGGGCCCTAATGGGGAAATTTGGGGAGGATGAGGTCATAAGGATTGATGACAATGATGGAAGGAGGGGGAGGAGGAGGAGGAGTAGGAATATGTGTTTCACCACATATGAGCAACTATTGCGCGGTTTGCCATTCGGACAGGGGAGGAGATGAGGAGCTGGGATCAGGGTGATGAAGACAAGGATGAGTCATATACGTACTTGCTTTGGTGAAACATTGCGGCGCTTCGTGTATTCTGAATGAAGTTTGGAGAGGCAGTGATTGGGAGAGTACGAAGGTCGAGGAGGAAGAGGACGGCAATGATGATAATGTGGATGAGGATGAAGGGTCGAGCAGTGAGCGGGTGGAGACAGAGACTTAGCGTGAGGTAGGAACCCTGACGCCTCTTGCCGAATTGAGTAGGAGGTGGGCGGCGGCGGGATGGAGGAGAGGGTTGAGAGGAGGCTGGATAAGGTGAGGGAGGGATGACGGATCACATCAGGTAGGAAGAAGGGGCTTGAGGGGAGCAAAGCAGGATAATGAGATTGAGTGGCTCCCCGAGAAATCACCAAATCAGAGGTTCGATACCAGGCTTCCCCTCTGATCTATGGGGTTCTTTTCTCGGAGGGGGAGAAGGAAGAGCTCGTGGATGCCTGAAACGAGGACATCAAACATGGGGGCGATACGCAACAGCAAGTGTTGTCCCAAACCAGCAACCACTGCTGTTGGGCAGGCGTTTTTGCGTTACACGCGAACACCGTCCGAGGAGATGCCAACATCACATTTTGTCGACGGCCTTCCAGTCGCCGCTGATTCTGTGATCTTGAAAGCAGGACCCCTAAAGCGGGAGGCAGACGGGAAGGAGAAGGGGAGGAAGAGGACCAGCAGCCCGAGGAGGGGGATACGGGGGAGGCGCAGCAAACCAATTCCAGCCAGGAGATGGACAGCAGAGGATGTCGAGAGCATTTGCTGTAGCCTGGTGGCTCACACGAAGGGCCCCGAGAGCGAGGGCCAGGCATAGTGGCATAGTCGTCTTTTGAAGCCTCCCGCACGCCTTCCGCCAGGTACCCTGACTTCCTGCAGCGGCTTCGTGAACTGCGCCGACGGATAGGAGGGCCGCTTTGACCGCACCGCGGTTGCCGGGACACGTGCGGTGAACGGCGTGCGAGCGCACCCGCGTGCTCGCACACCTGTATGTTCGCGCGTGCGTGTAGCACCAATTTGCGTAGCCATTTTGGCGCAAGCCTCTGTGCTCAGAAGGTTGAGAGTGGCTTCTGTTTACCCTCCGGGCCATAACGCGCGTTATGACCCCTACCCTCCCTCCCCCCTCCCCCCCATAACGTAACGCTCCCCCCTTCGGTGCGTCCCCGGCACTGCCGCAGCGCGTCCGGTACCACAGGCCAGGGGGGAGGGGCACTACGTTCTGCCTTTTCCCGCCCCCCCCCCCTTCCCCCGTCACGCCCGTTCTGGCCGCGAAAAAAACATGCGCTCGTTGGATGTCGGCCCCCGCCTCCAGCGTGCTTGAGATCCCCGAGCGCGCTCCACTACTCGCACAGGGCCCACTCGCAAACGTCCGAAGAGCACCTGTCCGCTTTGCCGCAGTTCATCGCCGCTCCTCCGCGGGGGAGCAAGGGCCACTGCGACCAGTTCCTTTGCGAGCAGTGGAGCGCGCTCGTCTATGAGAGGAGCCTGGACGGGACCCCGGCCGGAGCGCCGCCTGGCCCTCGCTCGCGGCAAGGCGCGGCCCGGCCGCTCGACGCCGCTTGCCCGGCCGGCGCGGCCGACGCCTCCCGGCCAGCGCCGCCCCGCGGGCCTGCGCTCCTGGCGCTGCGGCTGCCGCCGACGCTTCTCGGGAGGAGAAAAAACACACAGACACACTCCATCGTCGATTCCCCCGAAACTATGGGGAAATATGGGAGGTGAGGGGAACGACGAACACCCAGAAAATATGGGAAAAGATGTGCAATCCGGTCACTTGTGTCTATTTCTTTGTGTGTCCCACGGCCCCTTCAGCTTCACTATGGCGCTGGAGCAGTCAGCGCTGCGCCCCGCGACGCGGCCCAGGTGGCCGCCGCGACGGTTTCCGCTGCCGTTGGTGGCGCCCCCTCGCACCGAGCGCGCTCCACAACTCGCTAAGTGTCTACTCGTAAACGTCCGAACATTTTTTGTTTCCCTCGATGTAGTATATCGTAAATATCCCGCGGCGGATCCAGTCCACTTGCGAGAAACTGCTCTGCGAGTAGTGGAATGCGCTTGTCATCCCTCGGGCTTGGCCGCCGCCGCTGCCGCGGCCCGTGTCGCCGCCGCGGTTGCATGGGCCGCCGCCCCCGCTCGTCCGGGAGCCGCGGCGCTCGGCACGAGGCGCCCCGGACCCCAGAGGTGGTGCCGCCGCCGTGTCGGGCGAGTTCGGGGCGGGGGTGCCGACCTCCAGCGACGTGCTCCTCCTCCTCCTCCTTTTCCTCCTCCTCCTCCTCCTCCTCCTCCTCCGTTCGCTGTCGGTGGGGGACGTCTGCGCCCTCTGCACAGGCTCCCCGCTGACCGCGCTCAAGGGCTGGCTGGGTTTCCAGGACGCCGTGGGCTCCTGGGGCCTTTTTCTAGGTTCGCAGCGAGTGGCGGCAAGCATATCTTCGCCAGGGGGTGCGAGACAGAGCTCAGCATGACCGCGTGAGCCTGCCTCCGACGTCGAATTCCAGCGGAGACAAAACTGCTGATACTAACGGTGGCACCCGCGTTGGAGCGCTGAGGCCTCGATCCAGCCGCCTCGATGTCCGTCCATACGACCTCGCGAGGATCGCTCGGCAGCCGCTGCCCGCGACGACCTTCATCACCTCGCGACACCAGCGACCCAGACTGCGTCGGTGACCTCGTCCGTTCCCTTGCCTGCGCGGTTGGATTCAGTGACACTCTTGGGGCGCGTGAAAGCGTGGCAGTGGTCGAGCCAAGAGCAGTGACACCAGTAGTGACACTTCTGTAAGGCGGTGCAGAGGAGCCGTGCGAGCTTCGATCCAGCGCGCCACGTACCACAGATCTTGCGTGGGGTTTGGACCTCGCCGGGCTTCACGCAGGAAGCTCGCGCGACGTGTCCTTGGCGCCTGGGGCATTTTCGTTCCCGTCCTTCGGTATGTGGGCGATTCCTTTTGCCCTGAACGCAAGGGAGGGCTGCGCGACGCAATGCGACAGTTCGCCGTGCTTGAAGGGATTATTTTCGGTCCGTGCGCCGTGGCCGACGGTGAGCTGCAGTTCGGCAGTCCGCTTGGCGCCCTGGGTTTGACTGTGACGATTGACGCGAAAGGCCTTGTGCGTCGGCCGTTGCCAGACGAGCGCGCCCAGCGGCGCGCCGAGATCGCCGCTGCCCTCCAGGCGGGTACGCTCGAGCGCGGGCGCGCGTCCAAGTTGGCAGGCCGCTTCTGTTGGGCCGCCTCTAACACCTTCGGGCGTTTCGGGCCGGCGCTGCCCCCGCCGTTATTCGAGCGCGCGAGGGCGCGCCATCCGGGTGCCCCAGTGCACTTGCGAATATGTCTGCAACGGTGGCGCGAAGCGCTTTCCAACGATTTCTCCGCGACGCGAGAGTGGCAGGCGCCAGACATCATGTCTGCGCACGTGCTCTGCGACGCGCGGGGCCATCCGGTCAGGGTGGCCGCGGTGCTGTTCATTGGCGGGCGCATAGTCTTCATCGATGTCGCCCCACCCGAGCCCTTGCTTCAGCTCTTTAATGACAGGCGCGACAATCGAGTCGGGGGTCTGGAGGTGCACGGCGTCGCTCTGGGCCCGGCCACCTTCGAGCTGCTCTTGTCGAGCCGATGCGCGAATATCCTTCCAGACAATTCACGCAGCGAGCGGGCCGTCCAGTCCGGCGCGGCGAAGCAGTTCGACCGCGCTTGCCTGGTCCATTGTATTTGGCGCATGGCCCTGCGTACATCTTGCAATCTGCACGTTCGTCGAGTGGCGTCGGCGGCCGATGTCGCCGATTGCCCTGACGCGAGCCACGCTCCCTGCTGCGTCGCATGGGGTCGGAGCGATTTCGTCCAGTGGTTGGCGATGCGCGGTTCGACCCGTGCGCGCGGCTTCCTCGCCGCTGGCCGTGACCGGCTCGGGCCCCGGGCGCGCGCGCAATGTGCCGCGTCTTCCCTCGTCGGTCAGGGTGCGCCCGCCAGGCCGGGCAGGTGTCGGGGGTCTTCCCTCGCGCGCGTCGCGGCCGCGCTTCGCGATGCGCGCGCGCTTCGCCGCGCTGTCGGCCCGCCTAAAGGGGCCTGTCAGCGACGGTCTGGGTTGATCGCTCAGCTTCGCACAGCGCGGCCTGAGGCACGCCCTACTCCTGTTTTCGATGCTGCTGCGCTGCTTGCCGACGACGGCGCCGACGCCGCGAGCGACTTGGTCGACGTCGTCCTAGACTTGGTTGGCGTCGCCCTGGCAGGCTTCAGGGGCGCCGCGGCATTATCTAGCGACGCCCGTGAGGCGACCCGCGCGGCCATCGCGACAGCCCCGCGCGGCGGCGCGACAGCTGCGTTAGGCGGGGGTGTCGCGGGCGCCCTTCCTGCGCCCGCTCCCCTGTCCGGGATTGCCCCAGGGTGTTCTCGCGCGATCCGCGCTTGCCCGCGGGCGTTTCGCGTCGGCCGTCGCAGGGCCGGCATCGTGGCCCGGGCGCCCTCAGGCGAGTCAGTCTCGTCATCTTCCACGGCGCGCGCGCGCAACAGGCGCGTCGCTCGCGGCGCGTCGCGCGGGCGCCAGGACAGCGGCAGGGCGCGCGCAGCTTCCCCGGCGGGCCCTGCGCCCGCAGTCCGGTGGGCGCTCTCATTCGCCGGGGGCGAGGGTCGCCGATGCGCGCGCGGGCCGCGGAAGCCCCCGTCGCATTCCCAGCGGCTGGAAGAGCGCAGGCGCGCGGCGCAAGGCCCGGATGAGCGCGCTCCTGGGTGCGTGCCCGCGCTCGCTGCCAGCGCTCAGCAGCGGGTTCGAGTGCTGGATGCTGGATGGCATTCGCAAGGGGCGACGCGGGAGAGAATTGCCGCCCACCCTCGAGGGGCTGATTCTGTGGTGCACGACCCTCCGGTGCGCCGGCACCATCAGCCTGCGCGCGACGTGCGTTAGGGCGGCGTGCCTCGCGGAGCACAGGCGCGCGCCCCTCGCCTCATCCCCTTGCTTCGCGCGCGCTCGCCCACGGCGGCAGTCGGCGCGGGAGGCCCGTGGAAGTCCCCCGGCGCCCAGCGGTTCGCGCCGCTAAGAACGCCTTCGAGAAGCGCTCGGGCTGGCAAGCGAAGGCGCGCATGGCCCTTCAGGACCGCGACGTCGCCCGCTTGGCGTCGCGCATGGGCGTCAGTGACGAGGGTTGCCGTCTCGCCGCGTCGCGCCTGCCGGCCCGCGCATTCCTCCTTCGGCTACCTCCGGAGGCCCCGCCCGCGGTGCGGGTTGAAGATGGCTCGGCCGCAGCTCGCGCGGCCTCCGCGTTCGTCGTCGGCGATCAAAGATCGATCTGTGCCTCTCCAGAAGAAAGAACCGCGAGAGCTGCTCGGTGTTGTCGCGGCAGTGCAGGTGCGACGAGTGCGCGGTCACCTGTCCCGCGCGCGTTCTTGGGGCCTGGCTCAGTGGCGTGCCAGCTCACGTGGCCCCCGGGCGCACCTCGTGCTCGGCTGCTCCGCGCGCTCGGCGACGTGGGGCGCCGCGGCGCGGCGCCATTCGGCGCTCGCGCGTTCAGGCGCGGGCGCGTGCGGGACGCTGCAGTCGTGGGAGGCCCGGCCACCGACATCCTTCGCGCGGGCGGCTGGCGTCAGCCCACGTGGTTGACATGCCTTAATTCCAGCAGTGGCGAAGCGTCCAGGCCTGCCTATAGTCCTACCGAACAATGTTCTAAGAACCTTATGCGGTTCCCACGGAACGTTCTTAGAACATTTCTGGTTGGGGCTGTCTTGTTTTATCACATCGGGTTTATGTTATAAGAACATTGTTTTTGACACTCGACCATTGTTTGGTTATTAGAACATGTTGTGGTAGGTTTATTGGAATGCTGGGACGGTCGCTCCCTGCTCAAGTAACGTTTCCCGGCTCGAGCGACAATCGGTCGTCGAAGCCCTTCAGGCAGAGCCGTCCAGCGACGATGGCGAGGTCTAAGCACCCCGCGCAA